GCCACTCCAGACGCTGCTTACAAAAGGACTGAATTTTGACCAAGCAGGACGCTATCATTATCTCACAAGATAAATGGATGCCTATTATGATTAAAAATTAGCACTAAACCCATGGAATTTCTACGGGTCTTTATAACTGAAATATTATTACTACATAGATATTCCATATGACATATAGGATATTTTTTGTAGAAAGTGTATTTCCAGGGCAAATTGCAACATCTCTACCATCTGGTGGGACTCTGTTTAGACCAATGAAGATAGCAAATCATTGTTGAAAAATAAAACCAACTAAAGTCTAGGCCTCGTCTAAAATTAAATTTCCCTTTCCAGGGCCATAATATTTTCTCAGAGAGCTTGTGCTTTTGATCTACACAAAATGCACGTGTTTATATAATTCAACATATGAGCTAATCAAATAAATCACATCTTTTATGATATTCCTCACACTAGGCAAGCATTGTGTATTTTTGAGGGGTTTCCATCCGCTGTTGCATGACTTCAGTTGCATGAATTTATACATCGTTAACCGTACTGGGTATATTGATTCTCAGCTTGAATAGTCGATGTTAGGTGCTAAGTCTCTGCCTTGACTGTGAAGCAATAAAAGACCTTCGTACTTGACATGTAATTATTTTTACTCAGAATGAAACTAAGAGAAAGGCAGCTGTATTCAGTGATGTCTTTGAGAATTAAATTAAAAGTTTAAATTAGAAGTTTAGATTCGGGAGTATGAAATGCGAAAGTAAATAAATTTGAGACTATGAAAGATATGAAACTCGAGAAAAAAAAGGATCACGATTCGGGAGCTTAAAATCAATTAGATTGGGGATTTTGAGAGGGTTTAGATTTTCCCATAAAAAAAGCATTCTAAATTCATGTAAACAGGCAAGCAACTGTTAGAAGCTATTTTTTTCCATTTTAGCAGCAAAATATAGATTAATTAGCAAATATCCTAACTTTAAAAGAATTACATGGAATGTTTATATCACCAATGTTGTAAGGCTCGTCTGAGTAATTTTGATACCTGTTTAAAGCAGAACGAGTCGTCGTCGTCGTCCCGCTATTTAGTCTAGTAATGGGTTAAATAGCGGGGTAGCCTGCGTTCTCTAACCTTGGGTGAAACCTTGAGGGTCTATTCTGAATTGAAAACCTCGGAGAAGGCAAAAAGAAACCACTTGACTAAAATCACAGGACAGCCAGTCTAGGAGAAAGCCATGCCTCTCTAGCCTTGGACAGTAGCCAGTCTAGGAGAAAGACATACTTCTTTTTCTTTCATTTGCGTTTTCTTTTTTCTCCCTTCCTTCCTTCCTTCCTTTATCTCCTTTCTTCGCGTTTTCTTTTGTGTGTGTGTGGGGGGGGGTTCTTCCTTGTTTTTCCCAATTTCTTCCGCTTAATATTACTCGATGTTTCCCGATCAAAAAACAGTAACTGATTCCAGCTCAACTGGACAGTAAACCGAGCACTGATACTACACTCTGATCATAGGTAGTCATAATAGTCATAATAGTCATATTGTGAGACATTCAATAACAATTCACATATATAAAACGTAATTCATATCCATTATGTGTCCGTAAATAATAGGTTTCACTGAGGGCAGAGATGCTACACTCTGATCCAAGAAATAATCCCAAACTTATTGCAGCTTGTAATAATAAAATATAATAAAGTTTGTTAGATATTTAGGCTTAATACTAGTCCTGCTAATTTGTTTGCTGCTTATATATATATATATATATATATATATATATATATATATATATATATATATATATATAAATAAACAAACAAACATTGTCTGGCGAATTTGATAAAGAGTTTAAATGAATTCTTGCTGCTTACGTATATATATATATATATATATATATATATAAAAAGTGAGCCGTGAAGTCAACACTCAGAGGCGACAGGCTTTTTTCATGCTAGACGCAATCGTCAGGCCGCCTGACGATTACGTCTAGCATGAAAACAGCCTGTCGCCTCTGAGTGTTGACTTCACGGCTCACTTTTATATTTATATTTACATACGCTTTATCTCTGATATTGAGCACTTTATCCCATGAATATAGTACACTTTAAAACTATATTTCTTCATATATATATATATATATATTTATAGCGGCTGCATGTGCATTTATATAATGAATTTTTACTAACTGTTTATCTGAATATAACATCAATCAGCAAAGTGACACATTTTATATTTGTATTAATCATATATATATATATATATATATATATATATATATATATATATATATAGAGAGAGAGAGAGAGGAGAGAGAGAGAGAGAGAGAGAGAGAGAGAAGTGGGGATCGACCCTCTATCCCTTTTTCCCATCAGGGAAACAATTTTAGACAAAGAGTGCCGATACAAGTTTGGCCCCAAAGACTAGCCTAACAGAGCAAGGTTTGAATTAACTATTTAAGGAAACCACGTTTTCTCGTTGGGACTTATAAAAATCTATATTTGTTAGCCTCAGTTTCGTACTCGAAACGTAAACAACATTAAATTTTTAGGAATTTTTTTATCCGACATTTTTTCTTAATGCTCTAAACGTTCTTGTAGTAGGTACTCGTGCTTGAGTTTCTATTCCTGTATTTTTTTTTTTAATTTTCCAAAATAGTAAAATTAATTACCACCCGCCTAGACTGAGAAGTCTAAAGGAAAATTGTGCCTCCTGAAAAGAATCGAACCTGTATCACTTTTCCCATCAGGGCAACCATTTCTAGAGCCGAAACTTGCCACTACCAGTTTGTTCACTATTGTTCTTTTTATAGGGCAAGATTTGAATTATCTAATTAGGGAACGCACATCTCTCTTTAAGATTTCTACGAATCTACTTCTTCTATCTTTATTTTCCTATTCGAATGTAAATATCAGTAATTTTCAAATGGATTTTTATCAGACCTTAATTCATATTACCCAAACCTTATTTTTTGTGGATACTCCTTTAAGTATTAGGTTGGTGCAAAAATAATGACGTAAAAAATGTCGTTTTTTGACGTAGAAAAGTACGTCAAACAACGACATTATTACGTCATTATTTTTGCACCAACCTAATAATACAAATTTATCGTAATTAATAAATAAAAACTCCATTCTTTTCTTTAGAAATTGCGTTGTTTACGTTAGAATACGAAAGTGAGAAACTATTTCGAGAATCGGAGAAAAATCTGTGTTTAAAGGCACTTTGCTTGGTTATCGACTCATTCCGTAGCCGAGAGGGCCAAAGCACGTCAAATCTAATGATGTTTTCTCCTTAAGGGATGCAGGTTCGAATCTTGCCGGAAAGCGCGTATTTTTCTCTAGTAATATTTACTGAATATTCAGTTCGGTAGACGAAAATAAATAAATACACTGTTTAATAAATAGATGGAGCGTCTACCCAAATACGAGTATCAACTAAAAGTAACGTTTAAATAATAAAAATCTGTTGGATTAATAAATAAAAATGTTCGTTCCTTTCTTAAGAAACGTTATTTTATATTATAAAGCCCAAATTGTTTGCATTGCTAACACTGGTTTTATTTTCCTAAGCTGGTTGTTCTTAACTTTGCTGTTTAAGAAAATAAAGACACAAGGATATTCAAACAATACAAACAAGTGTAGCCACTAAAAATAAAGTTAACACGAAACAATTTCGAATTAAAATATCCATTTAAAATTGCAGATAATGCTTATAATTTACTCTTCATTTAAAGAGAATTATCACACAAGATATTTTAGGCGATACCAATTATAATAATTTTAATTATTAATTGCAAAATTGTGTAACAAAACATCAAGTAATAAGCATGGCAGTTAGTTTCAAAGTAAGATTTTGTGGGCACACTCTGTATATATGACAGATTTTATAATTAAGCGAAGTAGATTCAGTTTCCATTTTAATGTCAAACATCGCTGGCTGCAGACTTTACAGAAATGCTTTGTTATTTTTGAAGTTTTGAATAACAGAGGAATAAATAAAATATAAAAAAAATGCTTATTAAATAAAATAATCTTTGATCAGGAAGATTTATTGTAAAACAATCTTGCTTCTGCGCTTTATCTCTTTTAATCTATGAATCTATATCTATCTATCTATATATATATATATAAATATATATATATATATATATATATCCCCCTCTCTCTCTCTCTCTATATATATATATATATATATATATATATATATATAGGGAAAAGTTAAAGTTGTTTCAAGAAAAATGTATATTTTAAACAAGAGAGAAACCGCAAACGTTGTTGGTTATAATGTAGATTTAAAAGGGATAACGATTTGTTTTTAAATTTCCCAAATAATTCATTTTTTTATCACAAGTTATCACCCATCACCTGAAGAAGTACCATCTTAGTATTGAAACATGAATGTTTCTGTGTAGCGATGTGAAATGTTTTTACTGTAATTTATTATAATAAGAATATTACTATATGTTGCTTTACTTTGTATTGAGCTCAATATTTAGTTAATTTTCTTACTCGTATCGGGTTTTTTTCATTGGACTCCAAACTTGGATGCTAGATGATTATTTTCGGCTAACGTACATGTTCTCTGTTCTTTCTTCTTTTGTACTATTTTTTCCCCTTTGGTATTGGTTTGTTTATTCACAAATCAAGGCACCTAAGGTTTTCGGACAGTATAATTTCTTATATTTATAAGATTACAACTAGTATATATATATATATATATATATATATATATATATATATATATATATATATATGTGTGTGTGTGTGTGTGTGTGTGTGTGTGTGTGTGTGTGTGTGTGTGTGTGTGTGTGTACATACGCATATATATATACATGTATACATACATATATATTTATGGCAGCATTTCTCGGAGAAAGACAACTCGAAATTTGAAACCGTAGAGAAGACAAGAGGAAACCAATGCACACTTATTCCCCACAACCAATCATGATAATGTACAGTTTACAAATATTAAAGAAAAGTCAACTGTAAAGAGAAGTGATCGCCTATGTCCTGAAGGGGAGATGTCACTGAAAGAAAGAAAGAAAGAAAGAAAGAAAGAAAGAAAGAAAGAAAGAGAGATCTGCTCGACGATTCAGGTCAATCAATCTGACCGCTGGCCCTCTGTACTTATATTAGCTATTAGTACCAAAGTGGATTTATTATGTAATGTAATTAGTAATCATGATACTAACGAGAAGGAAATGTTTTCTTTTCGGCGCATCGAAATTAATGTAACTGGAGCGTCCGGAAAAGTCCATCACAACTGATTAGCTTCTGGGATATTCGGGCCGCTGGGAATGGATCGAAAATTAATTTATTTGTTGGGAATGTTAGATTAAGTGGAGGGGGGTGCAAATACTGTGCATGCGTGAGATAATATAGGCACAATTCATGAGATATTTTTAATCACTGACAATAATACAGGATTTGTGAGTTGAAATCTCATTTTAACTTATACCGAACTTTAACATTTTAATATTAAATTCAATATCTGTAAAATTATGAATTTTTAAATCGTATTTATTTCATCTTAATTTTTGTTGCTTTTCATCGCAACAACTCCGACCACCATTCTACAGCAATGGTTCCCAAATTGTAATCAATTTTGTTTTTCATCATCCCCATCATTAATTGATACATTTGCAATTTACTTACAACCACACACACACACACACACATACACACACACACACACTTATATATATATATATATATATATATAGCAAGTTTTAAGATAGGGAACATAATTTAATATTTAACGATTAAGGTGCGTTTCGATGCACTTCGTCAGAAGTCAATCATCGGTATTAAAATACTACTGAAGATGTATTTTTTTTTTTAATAAGATCTTAAAATTGGAGAGAAGCCAAGCGGGAACTATTATTGTCATCCTGATCGAGCCAATGACTCCCCCCCAAATAGTTCTAATTTGGATTTGTGCTCATTCTGTCTACACAGAGTCAGACTCTGTGTGTTAATTACACACACACACACACACACACACACACATATATATATATATATATATATAGTTTTTAAATGCTCAATATCAGAGAGAGAGTGTTTGTAAATATACCAAGCGGCAACAGTCTGTTTCAGATTTGAAACCAATCTTCCGACTATGTGCGTTGTGTTTCGGCTCGACTATTCATATATGCCGGTCAATGATGCATTATGGGTAGAAGGTCTGTTGGATTATCCTGATTGTTATTGGGTGGGCGGTAACGCTTAAACTTCAAATTGTTCTGGAGGCTATTGAGAAGAAATTATTGTGGGACCGAATGCAGATTTTGTATCTATTTTGCTCATTGTTTTCACTTTTATATTTACATATATCCACTCATATATATATATATATATATATATATATATATATATTTTATAATTAATCATTCGAAAATTATAGCATGAACATGTTATAAAATCACTAAAAATAGCCTTTTTTCTTTCAACACTTCTGATGTCTTATCAAGTGATGGTGTTGAATGTAGATACACCAAACTATACAAACCTATACCTATATATATATATATATATATATATATATATATATATATATATATATATATATATATATATATATATGTATATTTGGGCAGCAACCTTTCTTTCAAACATATCTCATTGAATATGACAGAAAAGGAAAATTTGATGAAGATTATATTGAGTTTTTCTAGCATTCTTGGATATTTTGGTTTGGTGAGTTGGAGTAAGGGCTGTAAAGATTGTCAATGGTGTCTATCGTTTCTTTAGTTATTTTCAAGAAGTTTGTTGTTAACTGTTGTTAATTTCTTTTTACGGTTGTCTTTGCAAGATGTAATTGTGTGATGCATATCGTATGGTAGTAGCGTTTATCTAAGTTGGTGTCCTTCTATTTAAAAAATAAACCCTTTAGCATATTGCTTACCCTTTTAAATAAAGTGATATGGTTTTATATAGAGTGCTTCTCTTCCAACGAGATGTTTTCGGTTACGGGATATATGAAGGATGATCGTGTTATCCAGTAGAATTTTCCTTATTTGCATTAGCCATTTTCAAGGGTTCCTTGTTAGTATATTTTTCTGGCGTTTACGTTCTAAACCCTATTGTATAGAAGTAGTAGTAATTCTAAGCCCCACTGGTTGGAAGTCGTTTAGTTTCCATCAAAGAAAAACTTTAAGAACGTTAGAAAAACTTAATAAAAGCATCATTTTTTTTTTACAAAATGTCATTATGACTCGTGACTACGTTCTAGCACAACTGTCAACGGCTTTCGAGAACTTTTCTCAGCTTAATTTCATTTCCGAACAATGCCGATGTAATAAAGAAGTCACTTTCTTGACGTTAGATTCGAACCCGGACGATAACGATCTAACCTTTATATATATATATATATATATATATATATATATATATATATATATATATATATATATATATATATATAACTTATTAAGGAAACACCTTAAAAATCCATATCGATTATAATTTATTTCATGAATATTGTTATATTCATCTCTTCGGAACGAAAGTTTTTAAGAAATAGAATCAATCCATCCAGAAAGATATACTTATAAATATAGACGACAGGGATGTTTGCGAATAAATCTAATTACGGAATTTTCGATTGAAAACAATACGCCGAAAATAAGAATTTATCTGATATAAGACAAAGGAAGAAGAAAAAGAAGAGTCAAAAGTTACTTAGAACAACAAAAGACAAGGAAAGTGTGGAGAGACATAACTCATATATATGTTACCTAGTTAAATGCCCATTAAGGAATTGTATTCCTGATCAATCAAAATTCGTAAATAATTATATAGGCCACACTACAACATGTTTGACACGCAGACTCACTCTACAACTATCTGACCATAGCTCAATTAGATCTCATTTAACTATTCATGGAGACCTACTGGACACTATTCGTAACATACTTGTTGACAACACAAATATAATAGCATCATCTACATGTAAAAGGGTAAAAATAATGAAAGTCTTATTAATAAAAGCAATAAAAAACAACACTTAATAATATCAGCTATGAACATGGACACAATGTCTTGACCGTGTTTTGAAAAATTAAAACATTATATATATATATATATATATATATATATATATATATATATAAGTAAAAGATGTGAACCTAGATAGCATTTGTGAAGCGTCCAAAGAAACCTTAATTGCTTATAACGCCTCTCCATGGCAAACGTTCTAAAAGAAGGATAAATTTAAATTCGATCTACCAACCAATAAAAATGTGAACCTCAGTGAAGCAAGATTGAAGCTGAACTGGCAAAACCTCGAGACTAACGTTAATCTATTTTTGCCTTTTTGTGTGCTGACCGCGAAAAATACGTATAAATTACATCGGATAAACAAGAACTAAAATGTCTAAAACGCGTTATCATATATATATATATATATATATATATATATATATATATATATATTTGCCCTTGTCGATGAGCCGGGAGGGGTCAATCTACCCAAACTGCAAAAGCGACTGTCCAGAGTGTGAGCTTAGGAATATCAAAATCAAGCCTGTATAGAAACTGAATTATATGTGTAGCGTAGCAAGAGATGACGAAAATTGTGGCACAGAAATCCGAAGATGCATAGGAAAAATGCCTTCCATGAACTAAACAAAGTATTTAAACATGAGAAAATAATGTTAGAAACAAAAAAGTACTCTATAATGTTTAATTTCCTGTATAGCAGTGAATGCTGGACAATTTCTTCACAGACGAAAAAAAAACAAACCTAATGCAAGAAATATGGTTCTAGAAATGGATGCTGAGATTACCATGGACAGTACATGTGAGAAATGTGGAAGTCTTAAAGAACATAAGAAACTGGGACTTACGATCAGAAAGAGACAGATGAAATTTCTGGGACACATAGTGAGGAAAGAGGACTTAGGGATTTTAATACTCACGGGTCATCGAATGCACGACAGGAAGAGGGAATAGCGAGTAACCGATTTAATGAATTCGTATGAATGGAGGACAAAACAAAGACAAAGGAAGAAGAAAAAAGAAGACTCAAAAGTTACTTAGAACAACAAAAGACAAGGAAAGTGTGGAGAGACATAACTCATAAAAGAAGAAGTCATGACTACGTCCAGGAATATATTCATGCGGATACTGGATTCACTTCCGGATTACGGCTTTGAGCATGTGTTGTTCAGCAGTGGTAGGAAAATATATTAGATACGTAATACCTTGTCACATTGGCCATCACATGTTTTTGAATAGTGTCTTGCGAATGCCACAAGTTAAAAATCATTATTATTAATATTATTATTATTGTCGTTGTTGTTGTTGCTTTCTCGGATTTGACAATTAATGCATGGATAGCAGACCACAATCAGCAGCCTTAGGTATCATATAATGTTCTTCTAGATTATTTTTGCCGTTTCTAAGAGGTTTCCTTCCTGCAACAGTTCCACTTGGCAACCAATACCTCTATTCTGCCAGTCAGTATACTAAACTCACCCATGACAACTGATATGATTGTCACCTTCTTCATCTTCCAAAGGTTTACATATTCAAATTCAATGGATGGTCTTCTCTTTTTCTTTTGTTCTATACATGTATGAAAAGGACACGATGGATCAATGATTAGCATTTTCTTTTTTTTTTCCATTTTATCTTCCATGAATATATCCGATTTGTAGAGGTCCAGTTACTTATTTGCTTGTATCGAAAAGCCCCACAAAATCTTGCATGTTTCTCACTCAAGAACCTATTCAGGTTTATGTATGTACCATTCTTTTCCTCAATGAAAATCTACCTTCTAAGACTAATTCCCATGGTTGATTTTGACAACGTGATCATCTCTCGACTTTTATAGTCATTCTGAGCAAAACTTGGACACTATTATTACTATTTTCCAGTGATTTCTCATAGTAAAATAGTTTTGCTTTCGTTGGAACACACACACATATATACATATATATATATATATATATATATATATATATATATATATATATATATATATATATATATTTGATATATTTATAGATGAACAGTGTTCACTACAATTTTATATATATATATATATATATATATATATATATATATATATATTTATATAACTATAAATATAAGTACTATTTTCCGATTGTCTATTTTATTT